AGGACACCCCAGTCACTATGCAAGTCCAATATGGTGTGACGTACACCTCTGGCCAAATATTTGACAACATTTGCTTATACCCTGAACATACATATATAATACATGTAGATCTCCTTACATACATTTAAGAATTTGTAATATCTTTAATTACTTAAATCATTCTTGAATATTAAGAATTTTGTCCAGAGACTTTCTTCTGAGCTTTTTGCATCCTTGGATCGGGTAGTCAAAATATGTTCACAGTTTGGAAACATTTCTTTTTTCTCTCTCTAATGTACAATGTGCTCCAAGATTCCCTGACGAATTAAATGTTCACACTCTGATCGTAACATGAAGTGCTGCAGAATAGAAAAGAACAAGGAACATTAGATGGAACAAGCATACTGATTTTAAGCAGTAACTGTAAAAATAAGAACACAAGCTTCAATGCTCACTATCTCAAAACTATGCTATAAACTCATGAACTTAAATTCACTTTATAAAGTGTTCGATTTTTAAAATGAAGAATTGTACATGCTGGACACCTGTCTTCACAGTGGAATATTTTTGTAAAACAAAATTTGGGGGGAAAAAAAACACCTGTACTTAAGTGTATGAAACTTGATTCCTCTTGAATATACACTGTACATGGGTAACTACCACAGAGGCATCAATTATAACTCCATAATGCACATAATTTACATATATAACCAGCCTGAAACTTAAGAATTATTTTATTGAGGTTTATGAAAGAATTTTTTGGTTAGAAGAAAAAAAAATTCAGCTCCCATGAACAAGAATATTCAGTAACTAGTGCTAATTGTAACGGGGACCGTTACAGATGTTCCCCAAACGCTCCCCAAATCCCTTTTTGTGCTAATTCCTGTAAGACGCATTGTACGTGCACGCACGTGCATGTACATGTAAGATGATCACGGCATGTTGTCTAAACAATTAACATATCAATAGATCGCGAGAATAGATAAAAAAAATCTTTACAATATACATTTTAATGTATTTTGGCCATTTTGCGTACTTCGCGCATGCACGTGCATGAATGTATGTTCGTACATTCAATTTTGATAGTACCATTATGTAGGAATTCATTATACCTATTCATATTCTAAATTTTATCCCGTTTCGATGAAAACTAAGAAAGTTTTAGACAATTAAATTTTCAGCCAATCAGATTGCAGCAATCTTGCATGCGCATGCTTTTCATGATAATTCTTATATACCATGCTGTAGATCTTCATAAAGTATAACAATGTTCAAAATTTCAAAGGATTTTGTCGAAAAACAAGAAAGATATTGAGACTTTAGTTTCAGCCAATCAGAGTGAGGTGCACGTGCATGCGCATGAGATCTTGCTATTTTGTCCATGTCTTCTAGTCTATGCTTCTAATATATCCTTATATCATAAGTTTCAAAACACTCCATCAAAAATTTAAATAGTTACGTCTATATCAATTATATTGGACATTTTTGGCCTTGCACGTGCTCGCTCTTGCAAGCACACGTGCATGCACATGCTTTCATGATAATTCTTTTATATCAGGCTGTAGATCTCCCTAATGTATGACTATATTCAAAATTTCAAAAGATTTTGTCAAAAAACAAGAAAGATATTGAGACTTTAGTTTCAACCAATCAGAGCAAAGCGCACGTGCATGCGCGTGAGATCTTGCTATTTTGACCATGTCATCACGTCTATACTACTAATATATACTTATATTATTAGTTTCAAAGCCTTAAATCAAAAAATAGAAAAGTTATGGCTATATCAATTATATTGGTCATTTCACGTGTTGCACGTGCGCGCTCTTGCAAGCACGTGCGCGCAAAATGACCTTCGTTCCGCAAATCTACATAACATGTCTACTGACCCTAAAAAGATTTCACCTTAGTCGGATGTGTAGTTTACAAGATCATTCGCGGAAAAGATTTTCCCAGGAAGAAGAAAAATAATAATAATAACTAGAAAGTCTGCTATTGCAAGCAATAGCATATGTCGCCCCGTATTAGACAAGACTTTCATTTTTATCATCACTAAAACAAAAGTCCATAAGCTAAGTTTGAAAACCTTTGAGTTATATCAGTCCTTTCCATTGGAAACGAAAGACCTTAATTCGGTACATCCCTCTCATTATTTTTAGAATCGGTAGGAGAAGAAAGTAGTGCAGGAAAATTACAAGTTCCTCAATTTGCAGACTTGCATAAACGAAATCTGGAAGATGTACTGAACTGAGCCTCATACTTCTTAATTGGCAGTATCTTTCCTATCATAAAAGCTTGGGAAATGTAATTTATGAAGAAGATCAGCCGAATTATTTTGTGTATTGTAACGCCAGTGGGAACTCTGAAATTTCCCTCTTTCACTTTAATTTTAGAGGTTCTACCGAAAAACGAATCTGACATGCCACCATCAATTCGAGCATTTCTGCATTGCAGAGAGCTGATGTGTGTTATGAGATGATAAATCATGTGTGAACTTTCTCAGTTTAGCGGAATCATGAACATTTTCGGCGAGATGAATGTTTTGGATACAGTGGTGATCAAGGCTTTGCGAACCATCAGGAGCGGATCAAAGAATTTATGAATGAATAAAAACTATGGAAATGACGTACCAATTTTTTAATTTATACTTGCACTATCTAATGAAATGAATAATATACAAGTGATAGATATACAAGAAAACGCGAAATGATAATAAATGCAGCTGACAATCGTTATTTTTTTTTATATAGATAAAATAAAATATTTATAAATTCAAGAGACAAAACAGAAGGAGAATGAATGATGGCAAAATATCACATGACGGGAACTGAATTTTATGAATGAAGATTTTAAAAAGTTACTTGTAAGTTGTATATGTTATATCTGTGTATTGTACTTGGCTGTGTGCTTCAAAAAAAAGGGGGGGGGGGTGGTCGTCTTGAACATAGTAAATAGCCATAACGTTTGAACGGTAAGTACTAGGGCTTTCGTATTTCAAATATGTAATCCTTGTGAAAAGAACTTTTATTGGATACGACGAACTTTGACCCTTTGACCTAGACCTTGGAGAACACATGTGTACATCTGAATCTTTTTTTCTGTTTCGTTTCTATGGCAACCGTGAGCGACTCATTACAATTATTTTGAAAGTAGAAATCACTTTGACACATTGCAAGGAATAAACATTGAAAGTTTCAAAACGATTGCCTGAGTAGTTATTGAGAAAATCGAAATTAAAGAATTTTTACTTTCACCTGGTTTCCATGGCAATAATCGATTATATGAAAATTTTAAATACGAGTTGCAGAACTACAGATACTAATCCTTAAAATAAGAAAAGTTTCATGACGAACGTGTAAGGGACCAGAGAGAACACTCTCGGACAAAATTTGTCGCTTTTTACAGGTTTCCATGGCAACGGTAGACATATTGGAACTGAACGACCTCACTGCACAACTACAACCAGTGATCGTCCTTTGAGGAAAGTTTCAGGAAGATTGTCCCAGCCATCTCCGAGAAACAGCCTGGATAAAAAAAACATGCGTACAATATCAATATGTCGTCCCCGACTTCGTTCGGGGCGACATAATAATAAGAAACAGAGTAAAAACAATATGTTCCCCAACTTCGTTTGGGGAACAAAACTACAGGACACTGCAATCTAATTAAAATTAGATGTAAGATCCACTCGCATACTCACTACACTAACATCTAAAACCATCCCAGAGAGGGTTACGTCAGATGTCAAATTCATAACAGCTCTAGAATAATTCGCTTCAACAATAAACGATGATTTTGCAGGCGAAGATTTGATTGGTTGATAGAATTTGACCTCTGACATGACCCTCTATGGGATGTTGTTAGATTTTAGTGAAGCGAGTATGCGAGCGGATCTAACATCTTATTCTAATCCGATTGCAGGACACTCCTAGTCACATTCTAAATGATGATCTGCGTATTGTGTAAAATGAAAATTTTCTTGCAACTTTTCTAGAACTAGATATCATTGAGATGACCATCTAAAAGGTACCCCGCTTTCAGTAATGAACATAAAAAATGTAAGGAAGCTGAAAACAGTTGACCTTGATCCTTGACCTACAAACTTTGTTCCAGATCAGTGCACTTCCATTGACCAGTGGCACTCTGTGAGTGAAGTATGAGTCACATTGGACAAAGGGGAGATAAGATATGCTTCGGACAAGGATTTTTCACATAATTCTGCTATGACCTTAACTTTTGACCTAGGAATATGGTTCAAGGTCACTGCATGCCCTTTACCCAAAGACACTCTGTGGGTGAAGTATGTCAGATTGGGCAAAGGAGAGATAAGATATACTCCGGACAAGAGATCGGAAGGACAGACCCTAATAATTTAGGGTTTTTTTTCTTTCTTTATTATACCCCCCGCTTGAAAAGCGGGAGGGTATATAGTAATCGGTATTTCCGTCCGTCTGTACGTCTGTCCGTCCGTCTGTTACGCTTTGGGGTACCCATCTCTTATCTGCAACTCCTCCCATACCACTGAAGGAAATTTAATGAAACTTTCACAGAATCTACATATTGCCATTGTGCACCTCCTATTTTACTTTTTGATCTGACATATATTTTGGATTTTCCAGAGCAAAACATGGATACTGCCAATATATTCATATGGGAGGCGGGGGGTATCATTTAGTGAGCTCATTGCTCACAGTACCTCTAGTTTTTTTGTGTGGATGTGGAAATGAAAACTTTGAAACAAAATTCAACATCTCCAGGACATCCAATGGATGGATTTGCCACAGTGAAAATAGAAGAAGAGTTTGAGGAAAATGATATTTCAGTGATTTTGTCAAAAGAATTAAATTGAAGTGTTTGACACACTTAAAGGGTACAAGGACAATAGCTTCAGAATCAATCTCTTATCAATCTTGTAAGGAGTACTTGTAATTATCTGTAAAAAAAAAAAAAAAAAAAAAAAAATTAGATACCTGACTATTCTTCTTTAACAACAGAATATTTCCATCTTGCGTTTCAAATTCCCCATGGTCCATTAAACATCTCACCTTCAAATAACAAACAATTACTAAAGCCAAAATATTCTATTAAAAAAAAATATTTTTATGCTTTTTGGGAAAAAGCAGAAGCAACATAAAATATTTTTAAAATTTTCATGCATTGTTACATTTAAGACAAGGTAAAATTAAATATTCATCTGTCAGACGTATTGAACATAATTTAGATATGGTAAATTAAAAAGTGTACAAATTGATGTCAGAGGTAATAAATGACTCTTTCCGTGTTTCATTGTTTAAAATTATTATAATTTTTGTTTGTATATATGTACCTCTTTTACCAGTGATCTAGTTTTGGGTGAATATAGAATTGAAATAGGTAAGGGAAGGGGAGGGGGTGTTGAGGTTGTGTTTTGAGGGTTTCATGTCATGTCCTTCATTACGCAGCTATATATGTGTGTTCTGAGATCTGTTTGTAAAATGTTTTGGGTGTTTTTACCTTGAATTGTGATCAATAGCTCTATCTTTCTGTCACCTCTATATAAAGTAATTTGGGATGCTTGTTGTCTTGCATTGTAATAAGTAGCTCTATCTGTCTTCTATAACCTCTTTGTAAATTTGAGGAGTGGGAAAGGGGGGCAGCTTGGGATGCTTGTGTTGTAATAGTTCTTATTCTGTATTTCCTTCATCTTCGCTAGCCAAGGGTTTCTGATACGCTACTCTCCTCATAAACCCTTGGCATACGGTGAAGTCAAAAGATGGGATTGCTTTCGTCATGTGATCTCGAATCTATCAAGTACGCACAGATTGCGTCATCGACAGAAATAAAGACGCATGTTTGAAAAAAAATTAAATCAAAGTTTTTTCAAGAATAAGTAAGAAGCAATAATTGAGTTATGTTTATCTATTATTTGTAGGGCCTAAAATAAAAATTTGTTTGTTTGCAGTTGCCTACCGACCAACTGAAAATGCACCTGAGAATCTATATTGAAGCTTCAGATTTGTACTAGGCCAAGCTTAAAAAATTCTTTGTTTTCAGTTGCCAACCTATAATTTTAAGACTGGGTCGGAAGGTAGGCATTCTTTTTTTTTTTTTGAAAAAAAAAAGTTTTCAGATATCAAATAATAGAGCTTTTCATATGCCTACTATAAAACATGATTAGGATTAGGCTCCAGACTTGTTATAAACCACTGATTGATAAAAAAAAAAAGAAGTCAAAAATTGAAATGAAACATTTTTAATATCCTGAAAAATTGAAAAAAAAAATTAAATTACACAATGGCTAAAAAAAAGTTTGGGTCAATCACATATTTAGAAAATATTGAATGACACGATAGCTATTCATAGAATTGCATGTTATCTTACGGATCGTTGTTTACTTGCTTTTTCATTTCAGAGATTAAAGAGTCAAGAAGTATCCCGAACGCAAATATCGTCATTTACAAAAAACATTTGCTGATTGGTCGACCCGGGTGTACTGAATCCCAATCAGAACTCGAGAAAAAAAAAACAACTTCTATCAACACTGTATGCCAAGGGATTGTGAGGAGAGTAGCGTATCAGAAACCCTTGGCTAGCCAAGATGTATTTCCTTTATGTAAAGTGTTTTGCTGGTGTGCAATGTCTTGTATTGTATTTTAATAAGTATCCCCTATAATTTCTCTCTCATCTCTATGTAAAGTGTTTTGCTGGTGTGCAATGTCTTGAATTTTAATAAGTATCCCTATAATTATACCCCCCGCTTGAAAAGTGGGAGGGTATATAGTAATCAGTATTTCCGTCCGTCCGTCCGTCTGTTACGCTTTGGGGTACCCATCTCTTATCTGCAACTCCTCTCATACCACTGAAGGAAATTTAATGAAACTTTCACAGAATCTTCATTACATATTGCCATTGTGCACCTCCTATTTTACTTTTTGATCTGACATATATTTTGGATTTTCCAGAGCAAAACATGGACACTGTCATTATATTTCATATGGGAGGTGGGGGGTATCATTTAGTGAGCTCATTGCTCACAGTACCTCTAGTTTCTCTGTCATCTTTATGTAAAGTGTTGGGCGGGGGGGGGCTCTAGGTCCTGTATTGTAATAGTTCTGTTACCTCTATGTACAGTGTTTTGGGGGGCTTTAGGTCCTGTATTGTTACTATTGTAACAGCTCTGTTACCTCTATGTACAGTGTTTTGGGGGGCTTTAGGTCCTGAGTAAGGTCTAATCCTCCCTCTCCTCCTATAGATCTCATATAAGTAGCCAGCATCTTGTTGTACTTGCTAAACCACTGGATCTGAAAATAAATATAACTAGAAAACTGACCAGTCAGCAAGGGCCCCGCCATGGGTAGAATTATAAGGGTACAGCTTATGGAATGATTAAAAAATATATGAAGAAATAAGCAACAGCAACTGCATTCTTAAAATTTTCAACATAATTCCTGAATATCCAAAAACCTGTTATTAATATCCTTGTATATTTACATTTGGCAGTTAAGAACAACCTAACATTGAATGTATATATAAACAATAACGAAGTTTATTAGTGAGATATAAATTGCCAGTCTTCAATGAATGCAAATACAAATGTACATGTATCATGAAGGCTTGACCTTAACTTCAAAACATTAATTAACAGCAGTTGCAGACAAAGGTTTTCATTCATCTTAAAATGACGGATAAAGATAGGCCTACTAAATTTTCTTCAGCAGGCTAGATAATTAATCCCAAGGGATTAATTGTACCTCTCTCATCATTTTCTTCTAAAGTTACAATAAGAACTTTTTCAGTATTAATATTAGAATGTTTTTTTTTTTTTATCCAACTACCTTAAAAATTAATATAATTCTTGAATTTACATAAAGGAAAAAAAAGTAAAAATAAAAGATATGTCTTCTTTAATCTATTTCTTGTTTTTAGAATTCAATGAAATCATATCTCATTGTGTAGGGTATTTTAACAAAAATAAAGTATAAACATTTATATCTAAATCCACATTTCAGAGTGTTCATAGCATTCCAAATTCAAACTTCATTTGCAGACAGAGTTGGTAATTAATCTCAATGTGACAGATAAAGATAATGCTTTGGATTTTCTTCAGGAGGAAAGCTAATTAATCCCAAGGGACTCATAGCAGCATTCAGTTTACAATGGAAACATCTTCAGCAGTTACCTCTCTTTGCCAAAGCATTCTTATATAAATTTAAGGAATATACCCAACCACCCCAGCTCCAAACCAGGGTACATAGAGAAACAAACTTAGCATCAAAATTTGTCTTTCTGCCTATTGAACTACCATACCAAATTTGATCTTAATTGGGCAACCATAAAAAAAGTTATAAGGAAAAAACAGAAAATTTGTGGACGGAAGAATGACAGACGGACAGACGGACAGACAGAGTGATTACTATAGGGCACCCGCAAATCCTTGCGGGGCCCTAATGAACTATAATAATGGCACATATGAAGAACAAACTGACTTCTGTGTCTGAAATTATGGTTTCTCCAACTTCCTGTGGTAGATTATTTGTAAGCACTTGCATAAAGACTATGCCTCAGTGTTTTAAAAAGATGCATTAACTAGATATGTTTGTAAAACACTTATGCCTCTGCAAAGAAAATGAAAGGAAACTGCAAATAATTGGAATTTTTCTAAGACCGAGGGGCAAAACTCTATCAAAAATAGTGCAATCGTACCCAAAACAGAATCTGACCAACATATTTATCTGATATATATGTACACCAAATTTCATTTCAGTATGTGCAGCGGTTGTGAAGAAAATGAATGGAAACTACAAATAATTGGAATTCTTCTAAGTCCAAGGGGCATAACCCTGTCAAAATTGCGCGATCGTGCCCCAAACAGTCCTTCACCTAGATATTTGTCTTATGTATCTGTAAATCAAATTTCATTTCAGTATGTGCAACGGCTGTGAAGAAAATGAACGGAAACTAAGTGGCACGACAGACCAACCGACAGACAGCAGCAAAGCAATCTGCCCTCACTTCTTCAAAGGGGGCATAAAAATATAATGTAGTATAATTAGTAATACTTATTAATTTGAAATATAATTTTATTTTGATTTTTGAGTATTCTACAGTTTGGGATCCTACCTCCTGTTCACACATGTTGAACTTGACCTCTGGAGGCAGAACACTCCCAAACTCCCATCTCATTCTCCGGATTTGTTCTAATCTGTTGTATCTAATTTTTACCAAAAAAAAGGCAAGAAAAATAAGATGATCAGAGATGAGAAAAAATAAGTTTGCATACAGTAACATAGTGTAAAACTTTACCTTTTTCCTTGCCTGTACTTGCCCCCCATTTGTTATTATCTCCATGCAGACTAGTTTAAAACAATAGTCCTCGAGTTCGATTAGAAAACTGATCTCATTCCCCCTCAAAATTGATCTCACATTCAATTGTCATTAATTTCTATTTATTACTGTGATTACCGGTAATTATCATAAGTGAATAGAAAGAGGAATAACTTCTTTCATTAGAATTCAAATTATTTGACTAAAAGGTGCAGAATTTGAAAATTCTGGTAAAAGTACCATTTCTCAGTACAGCTTTATATACTTTGTTTACTGCCTAGATTCCCAGGAGTAGAGTAGGATTTTCAAAGAAATGTGTTTTCACTAAATAGATTCAATAAAGCCCCATCCTAACACCAGAAGCCCTTCCCCAGCGGCCAAAAAATTCACAAAAAGCACTAAGGGTGAAACATTTACTGAATTTTGTAAACGTTTAAACGAGCAGCAGTGAACGAAATGGTACCGTTTAAACGGGAGATTTTTATGTGTTGAATTGTCTACTAACTCATGAAACACTAATTAAATAAACCATTCTTTCACTATAATGTAAGTATGAGTTGTAAAAATGACTGTTTATTTGTTGGTTTTTATGACGAAAGAGTAGGAAGTGTCAAAAACTGAAACGAGATAGTAATATAAAAATATACTACGATAAAATTGAAGGTTCGGTTTAAGTTCAATTTTTCAAAGCTCTATATTCAACATTATACCGTTATAAGCATGATACTTTTTATTTTCTAATCAATAAAAAGCAACAACAAGGGTTATTTATTTTAGAACATACACTTGGAAAAATAAAATAATACATCGCTAGTTTTACTACTCGGAAATCGGAATTAAATATGTTAGACCATATTGGTTGCTAGAAGTTTTCTTTAATATTACGTTTCCGGTATCGATTATAACAGAAAAAAAAAATGTTTGTAACAGACACAGACTGTTTTTTCTTTAGAAAATTATATGAAATAAAATAACTTGTTTGGATGAAAGGGTTTTTTTCTGATAGACATTGATATTAACCTTCGTGTAAACGTTTACTCAATTTGTAAACGTTTAGAGCATTTAATCGAAACGTCGCCGTTTACACGTGTAATCGTTTCGCCATTAAAAAGCACACTTGCTTATCATAACCATTGTACTTAGTATAATTGCTAATTACCCATGGGCAGGACACAGAATTTTATTTTTCAAAGAAATAAATTCAAATAATGCATTTTTATTACATATGCTATAAATATATATGTAACTTATTATGCTTGACTACTCATACTCACAAGTAAGCAAGAAGACATCGTTTGTTACGCTCCAGAGCCGAATGCCTTAGTTGTACACCAGAATATAGACCATTCTCTCCAGCAATTGTAGCACTCCTGTATACAACAAATTTATCTTGATATACTATAATGAACAAAGATTTACATGTCAGCACCGAATGAAGTTTACTAAATATTACTGTATACAGGGTTATTTTGGCCCCGTCTTATTTTCGCCCTTTCACACTTGTAAAACAATTTTGCCCCATTTTAAATTCGCCCAGTCATAGTTTTGTTCAAGAAATTATACTGTATTCTTTGAATTCGCCGTTTTAAATTCGCCCAAATAATAGTAGGGCGAAAGGGGCGAAAATAAAACGGGGGCGAAAATTTGCCTGTATACAGTAATACACTTAAACTATCAGATACTTCTGTTGTAAATGAATCTTGACAGAGATTTAGCTACATTAGCTTTGCTAGACAATTTTATCTTTATACGATAATGAACAAAAGGTTTACATGTCAGCACATAACGAAGTTTCTTCCCCAAACCACTGCTAACAGTTTTCAAAGAAACAAAAGATTTCATATAAATACACTTAAAAACTATCAGTTACTTCTGTTGTATATGGATCTTGATAGGGATTTGACTTTGCTAGATATTTGGACAAACACAACAGCTAGGAAATTGTTGGAATATGATACCAGAGGGGCTCGACATTAACGCTTGTCCGCTTGTCCGGTACCAATGAAAAAAAAATTACAGACTAGTGAATATTGCTGGGCACTTGTCCGATTGGACAAGTGATTTTTTATGCAAGGAAGTCTTTAAATAATAATAATGAAATAAAAAACAACTATTGAAAAGTTTATCAAATAAAAACGGAAGCAGTACAGAAACCCGAATTTCGATCCCGATATCAATCGCTATGTAGGTTCACACTTGATCGGGATCGATGTTCACTAATTGCAGCCATACTATTGCATGGCGTGGATCTTACAATGTTTGCGGGTTTGAAATGTATTTGATTGATATTACAGATTCACTTGCGAACATTTATGTTGTTGTCAGGACAGGAAGTGAAGTCGAGATAAAAATTTTTTTTATATGTGTTTGTCTTATCAATTACAACACTAATAAATCAAGCACGTTTAATTTTCTAATTTAATTAAGTAATTGTTTTCAAGTTGACAGAATAAAATATTCATAGAAAAATTTTCAGACAAGTGAAACTGAAGTTCGGACAAGTAAATATCTTGGTCACTTGTTCGAATGGACAAGTAGGAAAAAAGTTAATGTCGAGCCCTGACCAGCTTCTGAATGGACATTAGATAAGCAATGAAGAATTAAAAGGATGTTTGAGGAGAAGAAAAGAAGCGAGTGAGACACTCGTTCTGACTTTAACCATAACAACTTATGAAGTTCAGACCGAATTTCCGCACAAATTAATTTAAACTGTCCTGAGATTCGAAGAAGGCATCAGTCCAGATATCTAACCAAGCAAAATCTTTGTTCAGTGTTGAGATAATTATTAGTAATAATATCATAGGGGCTACCTACACGTCTTTCTGGTTCTGCTCAAAAAGTGCTTTCATTTCTTCTAAGATTTGTCTGATTGCATCCTCCTATTCAAATTAAAAAAAAACAAATAAAACATAAATCATTCAAATTCAAAACACTGTGTATATGTATTATATGTTATATGATTTCTTAACACATATCATCAAGAAACAAAAAATTTTTATGCAGTGCAAAAATTTACTCTTTTTTTTTAAAATGTTCAATGCAACATACATAATCATAATTCATTCTACACAAAAATGACGTGAAATAAGAATAATTCATACTAAAAATATGTAAATAATTTGTGTTTTGGATCAGCTAGGGACCTATAGATACTGCATTTGTACATAGGTCCCTGAATGGATTTGACAAGATGAAGAACGCAAGATG